GACTTTGAAGAAAACCAATTGATTGAAGTCTGAAAGATCATAAAGAGGCCATGGGGTGGACAATAGCGGACATTAAGGGAATAAGCCCTAATGTATGCACTCACAAGATACTCATGGAAGACGATTGTAAGCCTAGGAGGGAAGCTCAAAGACGATTAAATCCTCCCATGATGGAAGTTGTCAAGAAAGAGATAATCAAACTCCTTGATGCGGATATGATTTACCCGATTTCCGACTCAAAGTGGGTTAGTCCGGTTCAAGTGGTTCCCAAGAAAACGGGAATCACGGTTGTTGAGAATAACAAAGGAATAATGGTACCCACTCGAGTTCAAAATGGATGGAGGGTATGCATTGATTATCGAAAGTTGAATTCAAGCACAAGAAAAGATCACTTTCCTCTTCCTTTCATCGACCAAATGCTCGAGAGATTGGCGGTAAGTCACACTATTGTTGTCTCGATGGATACTCGGGTTTTCATCAAATACCCGTTGCCCCCGAAGATCAAGACAAGACAACCTTCACATGCCCTTTTGGCACGTTTGCTTATAAGCGGATGCCATTTGGATTATGCAATGCCCCCGCCACATTCCAAAGATGCATGGTGAGCATTTTCTCCGAGTATGTTGAGAATATCATTGAAGTATTCATGGATGACTTCACAGTGTATGGCAATTCGTTTGATGAATGCTTGAATAATCTTGAAAAGATTTTGAAAAGATGCATTGAGAAAAGTTTGGTGTTAAACTTTGAGAAGTGTCACTTTATGGTCAATCAAGGCATCATCTTGGGTCATATTGTCTCCAAAAAGGGAATTGAAGTTGATAAAGCCAAAATTGATGTCATCCAAACCCTCCCTTACCCAACATGTGTTAGAGAAGTAAGATCTTTCTTGGGCCATGCGGGATTCTATAGAAGATTTATCAAAGATTTCTCGAAGATTACGCGTCCAATGTGCCTCCTTCTCCAAAAAGATGTTGATTTTGACTTCAATGTTGCATGTCAAGAAGCCTTTGATAAACTCAAGCCTTGCTCACTTCCGCTCCAATAATCCAACCTCCAAATTGGGAGCTTCCCTTTGAAATAATGTGTGATGCAAGCAATTTTGCAATTGGAGCGGTCTTAGGTCAAAAGGAAGGCAAAGCATCACATGTCATCTACTATGCCTCCAAAACCTTGGATAATGCTCAAGCCAATTACTCAACCACCGAGAAGGAACTTCTAGCCATTGTATTCGCCTTGGAGAAATTCCGGCAATACCTTCTCGGGACAAAAGTGATTGTATACTCCGACCATGCCGCATTGAAGTATCTCATGACCAAGAAAGATGCCAAACCACGGTTGATTCGGTGGATTCTTCTTTTACAAGAATTCGATCTTGAGATAAAGGACAAAAGTGGTGCCGAAAATCTAGTTGCGGACCACTTAAGTCGGTTGAATATTGGTGAATCTTCTTCTCCCATCCTTGATGAATTCCCGGATGAACACCTCCTCTACATTTCAAACACTATTCCATGGTATGCGGATATTGTGAATTACTTGGTTACGAAAAGAAATTCCCCACGCGTTTAGCAAGCACCAAAAGGCCAAGTTAAAGAGTGATTCCAAATACTACGTATGGGACGACCCTTATCTTTGGAAGCATTGTCCGGATCAACTAATACGGAGGTGTGTTCACCAAAATGAGGTCGAGTCTTCTTGAAGTTTTGCCATGAGTATGCATGCGGAGGACATTTTGGTCAAAACAAAACCATGCGAAAGGTGGTCGAATGTGGACTCTATTGGCCAACAATGTCAAGAGAGAGATACTTATTATTTGCAAGAGTTGTGATAGATGTCAAAGAATGGGCACCATATCCATGAAAAACGAAATGATTCAAAATCCCATCCTCATTTGTGAGATCTTTGATGTATGGGGAATCGATTTCATGGGCCCCTTCCCCGTTTCTTTGGATATACTTATATACTCTTGGCGGTTGATTACGTCTCAAAGTGGGTGGAAGCAAAGGCAACAAGGCATGATGATTCTAAAACGGTAATTAACTTCTTGAAGTCCAAACATTTTGCAAGATATGGTGTACCAAGAGCTTTGGTGAGTGATAGGGGCACTCATTTTTGCAATAAAATGATGGAAGCCATGACAAAGAGATATGGTGTCACACACCGGATATCGACCGCTTATCATCCACCAACAAACGGCCAAGCCGAAGTGTCAAATCGAGAAGTCAAACAAATTCTCGAGAAGACGGTCAACACTACACGAAAAGATTGGAGCTTGAAGTTAGAAGATGCATTGTGGGCGTATCGGACCGCCTACAAAACTCCAATTGGTATGTCTCCATTCCGCCTCGTCTATGGAAAGTCTTGTCATTTACGGTGGTGGAATTGGAACACAAGGCATATTGGGCGGTTAAAAAGTGCAATTTCAATCTTGAAGAAAGTGGAAAGCACCGAAAAATGCAACTTCAAGAAATCGAGGAGTTGAGGAACGAGTCTTATGAAAATGCAAGCATCTACAAAGATAAGACAAAAGCGTTTCACGACAAACACATCACTCGTAAGCATTTTATTCCGGGCCAAAAAGTCCTTCTTTATCATTCACGCTTAAAGCTATTCCCGGGAAAGCTGCGATCTCGATGGCACGGACCTTTTATTGTTATAAAAGTGTTTGATCACGGTGCGGTTGAAATAAAGAGTTTGGACACAAATCAAATATTCAAAGTGAATGGGCACCGCTTGAAACCGTTCTATGAAGGCTTCGACACGGGAGAATTCGACAAAGTAACATTGGAAAACCCGAATTACGAAGATTGACGGAGCGGGGCTATGTCTTGGCAAAGACGTTAAATAAATGCATTGTGAATAAATAATCTCCGCTTGAAGTTTTGGGTGTTTCTAAACTTGAAGTTGGCCTAAAAATAAGCATATAGAAGTCTTCCAGTGATTTTGGTGAAGTTTGAAAATTCAAAAAAATTTGACTTTTGCGAGGGTACCCGCGCAACCTCTGCGCGACCGACCCCAGCCGCGCAAGTCCGAGTTCCAAATTGCACCAACATGGGATGCAAACTGTGAGTTGAGCGCAACCGAAATCCACCCTCGCAGATGTTTGCGCGGCTAAGAAGAAAATTTCGCTTTCAAGTTGCGCGAACCCCCCCCCCTTATAACTCACCCGGAAGACCGCCCCCGACCCGCTCCAGTCCGATCCACACCCGCTTCCGACCCGAAAACCCGACCCATTCTTCCTTAACCCACCTTATACCCCCACTTAACCCGTCTGACCCTTCCCCCCCCCCCTTTGCCTCCCGTCAACGAAACCCCCCTGCACCCCGACGATCCCGTCTGTCGCCGCCGCAATCAATCAGCGCCATCGGTCAGCGCCTCCGTCCAGCAAGTTCCGCCGGCCAGCGCTTCCCTCCAGCAACCGTCGGCAGCCCGATCTCGTCCAACTTCGTCGTCGGAAAAGCGAAACTCACCGCTGCTCCCTTCGCCGGTGCTCCCCACCACCACATTCCCCACCTAATTCCGACTAAACCCCACCCTTTTAACTCCGAGAACAGCCAACCGCAGCCACCATTATCCCTCGCCGGAAAAAAATCATTCAAAACCCGATTCCGAAGCCAAATCTCAGTCAAATCCAAAATTTCTTGGGGCATTATTAACCAAACACTCCACCACACACCGATCTACTTTTAATTCGGGACAATCTCGTCGCCGGAATCCACGCTCCGCCGCCGGCCGCCGTCTGTCGCCGCCGCCGGCCGCCGCCACTGTTTTGACCAAAAATTTCAAAATTTTTGTTTCTCACCGGAGATTCAAAAGATTCAATCTTTCGGGTCAACTTCAAGCTTGGGCTGCGATTTTAGCGAATTTCTTTTTGGGTTTCAACACACGAATTCGGTACATTTCTTTAATTTTATTGCATTCAACTTCTAATTCCAATTAGCTTGTGCTATGCATTAGATTGATTTGAATTGGACTTAGTTTGCTTTGAATTGATCGAATTGCATTGAATTGTACCAAATTGCAAGTTTGGAATATTTGCCCGGTTTATTCTTATTATTTTAGTTTGTTTGGATTGGTGTGAGGCGAGTTTGAGGGATAATTTTGGCCAAGTTTTTGTGTTTGCTAGGTTTATTAACAGGTACAATGGCAAGGGACAAAACCATTCACGCCTCTCATGGTTCTTCCCGTGCGGCTTCATCCTCACGATCCACACAAAAAGCGTCAACCGAGAATACCGATCGTGAGGGCAACCTTGTCCTCACTAGCGCGCAAATCAAACAATTCAAGTCAAACCTCCAAAAACGTGCAATTCGAGCCACCAAATTTTACCACCAAGACTCAATGACGTACCTTGGCCTTGACGATTGCCTGAAACAGCTGTTCTTCAACATCGGTTGGCACGAGTTCCTCGCTCTTTCCGCGCGCACATACAAACAACCACACTAGAGTTCCTTTCCACTTATGCACGGGATGACACGGCAGGGGTGCTCACATTTAAACTCCAGGGTCGACAGCACCGACTCACATACGACACCCTAAACACTATCATGGGCACATACGATAACTACAACACCGACATCTATAGCTATCAATGGACTCAATTCAAGAGCTCGCCCAAAATAGAGTTTTGGACTCAAATCACAAGTCTTCCAAAACTTCAATCCAAGTCGACAAAAAGATACTTACATCATCCATCCTTGTTGGAGAATTGCCCACCGGATCCTCTCAACTTCCATCTTTGCCCGTCACGAGCCGGGACAAATCAACACAGTCGAGCTCTATTTCCTCTATTGCATGAGCCATCGGCGTTGGTCTTTGCCCGGTTCACCACCTTTTTCTGGATAAATGTGACAGCATTCGCATGAAGACCACTGGCGACATTTGCATTGAGGTCTCATTACCCTAATTGGTTTGGGTGTGGGCCTTCAATTCCCGAGTCTGAGTATGTGCCAGTGGATGACCCACCTCTCTATCTCCTTGACTACATCACTCTCACCCGGATGGAATTATTGACACCTCATCCTACCCGTCCTAACCATTTTTCTTGGCTCAATCATGTAAAAGACCCAGTTTACATCTTACCTAACCCTAGCATCTCCGCCTTTTCCACCAGCGACCCTGAAACTTGGTTCTTACCTGGCGAGTTAGACGATGATGATGAAATGCAGGTCGACCATTCCAATGCTGGTAGTCCATTTGAAACCGAAGACCATTATGACCTCCCGATCCAACAATTGCCACCACCCCTTTATGGTCAGCCTTCGGGAGCACATTTTGAGCCACAACATGAGTACCACTCTCAACCGCAGCACAATGATCCCGATCCCGAACATGAGTTTCCTCTTGATATCTACAGTCAGCTTGCTTCCTTGCGCCTCCAGGGCAATCGGAATACAGCCGCCATTCGCCGCATCGAGGAGCAGCAAGCCCGACCAACAACTATATGGAGGATCTTTGGTATCATTTTCGGCCCGACGACGGTTACCCCCCTCGTGGGCCTCCTCCACCTTGATCCTGGTATGATCCTTCCTTACTCTCATCCTAAGCATTGAGGACAATGCTTAATTTAAGCTTGGGGTGAGGTATTCTTATATTTTATTTTTATTGCATTTAGGTTGTATATAGTTGCATTTAGAGTAACTCATTTAGGTCATTCATAAAAATTGCATAAAAATTGCATAAAAATTTCAAAAATATTGCATATTTTGTTTCTTTCTTTTCTAATTTTCATACTTTTTAGATGCATTCTAGTTTAAGTTCATGCATTTTTGTTCTCTTCTTGTCTTCTCATCTTAACAGGTACCAGAGCACCGAGTCATAAGTATTGAATCATAGATTGGTCCCGGGTCTTGATATGGAATTCCTTGTATTTGATAAGTGGGACACGTTTTGAGCCTCACAGACCATTTAAGACCGCTTGTGTGGGGTCAGATGCAGGTAGCTTGATTGGGTCTAGGTGCGGAGGGATGTGGTTGGTCAAACCGATGTGTGCGAGCAAAGATTAGCCCGGTGGTAAGGTACATTGAAGATATTGAAGACTCGCATCTTGGTTTTGGGGGGAGTACCCCATAGTACTCCCGAGTCTCGTCCGAGCCTTACTTAGTTAGATTCTCACCACCTTTTTAAGATAGGTTATTTTTTTTAGGAGTCTAGAGTAGATAGTTAGATAGATTTTGTTTATCACACTTGCATTGAGGTGCTTGATGAACTTTGAAGTGGGTCCCCCAATTCACATTTTTTGGGACCAAGTCTTTTCGGTAACACCCATTTTTTGAGTCATTCCCACCATTTTTTAGTTGATCTTGGCACATTGTCAATGATCATTAGGTGTTCATGTTAGCCTCCATCCTATGTTACATGGTGAAATTCCTTAGACCTTCAAAGAAGAAAACACAAAAAAATGAAAAGAAAAAGAAAGAAATTGGAAAAGTGAAAAAAAAAATTAAAGAAAAGCAACAAAATCAAAGAAGAAAAAAATGAAGAAAAAGAGCAACACAAAAAGAAGAACAAGAATCCAAGTTCAAGGCTTTAGTTCAAAAAAAAAAGGGCTGAATATCAAACAACAAAGAGGCTGAAGACCAAATAACAGAAGTTCAAGATTGAAGATTTAAAAGAGCTAAGTCTTGGAACGAAGGCTGGTTTAATAATGATACAGGAACAACGTGTTAGGATCGAGACACTTAACACACGACTCTAAACACACACACAGCTCACGAAAAGCAAGAACACAAGGATGAACACGAGGGATTTAACGTGGTTCGGTCCTTCTCTGACCTACGTCCACCGGTAACTAGGAATTTATATTTCTTGGTGCTAATCTGCACTCTTTCTGTGTTACTCTAGATACAAGTTTTACAATACGATGAATCTCTTATATAGAGATGGAAACACAACATGGTTCCTGGTTTCCTGCCATTTTTGACCAGTTGTGGCTTCACACATAGTTCCTGGTTTCCTGCCATTTTTGACCAACTTTTCTGTGGATTCACACTCAACAACCTCCGTGGATTCACACTCAACAATCTCCCACTTGAAGCCACAGAACAATCTTCACCTGTGCTTCAACTGTGCATCTGTATTTTAAAAAAAATTTGATCTTAACTCCTTCCTAGTTACCCGGCCTTCTCTTCAATTTACCTGTTCTCTGTCTCCACCGGCTCCCACTGAAATGAACTGCCCGATCCTGGAACATCCTGAGAACAAACGACACTCTCCATGTGAAGCAGATAATCTGGAGAGACTTTTACAGATGGAATACTGGTTCTCTTAACCCACTGTGTTCTGGGTATTCTAGCTGAAACAAAGCCCATGCTCCCACTGCTATGAATGCCCTTGACTGATTTTTCTGAACCGTTCCAAACACGTTCAACCTGAATCTGACCTGTTACTCTGGGTTTGCCATCTGCAAAGCAAACCTTCTTCTGTCTACGAGACTCTATGAACCGGATTTTTGTTTTTCTTCTGAACTGGGACGGTTACTCCCTCAGACGGTAAACTGACCATATATAATGAACCCCTCTTATGTCCACGAGTTATCACAAGATTTCCTTTGACAACCTTCCACTGCCCATTCCTGAACTTAACCTCGTTTCCCTGTTCATCCAACTGCCCAACAGAAATCAACTGTTTCTTCAGACTTGGAATTACCCGGACATCCTTCAAAGTCCATGGACCGACTGGAGTCTTCAGATCTAAGTCACCTATGCTCGTCACATCAAGAACCTCATCGTTCGCCAGTCTTTCCTTACCAAAATCCCCTTTTTTCAGATTCCGCAGTGCTTCACGGATGTGGGTAGCGTGAAATGAAGCACCCGAATCCATAACCCAGGAATCCACATTGCTCTCCACATTACAGATCAAAACATCATCATCTGAATGGTCTACTGCAACGTTAACTTCTTTCTTGTCTTTTGGACATTGATTCCTAAAATGTCCAACCTCTTTACAGTTCCAACAAGTCACATCATTTCGAGTCCTCGACTGACTCCTTCTCCTGTTCCCGCTCCCACTACCTCTGTTATTTCTTCTACCTCTGACCGCATTCAATTGTTCACTTGATGATTCCCCGGAATTTCTTCGTCTGACGTCTTCGCCTAGAATTAAATCCCGAATTCCCTCAAAAGTGAGCTCTTTCGATCCTGCGGAACTAGTAACGGCTGTAACTGTTCCGGACCAACTGTCAGCTAATGATGATAACAGTAGTAAAGCTTGAACTTCGTCCTCAAATTTTATTCCCACTGACCCAAGTCTGGATAAAATCGAGTTCAAATTGTTGATGTGTACTGTAACTGAACTTCCTTCCCTCATCCTCGTGTTGACTAGTTCCCGAATCAGGAAGACTTTATTTGCTGCCAACGGCTTCTCGTACATATTAGACAATGCCTTCATGATTCCCTTTGCCGAGGTCTCCTTCAAAATGTTGAAGGCAACATCCTTTGACAACGTCAGTCTAATAAATGCCTTGGCCTTCTTATCCAAAGTCTCCCAGTTTGCCTGTGTCATCGCCTCCGGTTTTTCACCTAAAACTGCGTCCAAGTCTTTCTGTACGAGCAAATCTTCAATTTGCATCTTCCACCAACCAAAATCTTTCCCATCAAACTTCTCAATCTGAAGCTTACTGCTTTCTGCCATTTTCTGAGAGAACAATGACCTATCTTGCAATTTTCTGGAAATTCAGGGGCCAAATTGCAAATTTTCAAATCTGTTACAGTGTTGCTACAGTGTCTGCTGATGTCACCGCTGACGTCGTGCTACAGTGCCTGCTACAGTGTCGTATTCTCGGCGGCTGCTACAGTGTGTGGTGCTACAGTGTCGTCTTCTCCGGCGAACTGGTTTTCCCGGTCACTATTCCGGCAAAACTTTGACCGGCGATTTGGATGTCTTCCGTTGGTCAAAAAATTCAGAAAAAAATATTTTCGGAATCTTCGGAACGAGACCTTTCCAACGGTATACACCAAAATCATTTTTGACGAAAAAAAATTTCGACCAAAAAACAGAAAATCACCTTCTGGAGCTAAAACCTTGCTCTGATACCACTTGTTAGGATCGAGACACTTAACACACGACTCTAAACACACACAGCTCACGAAAAACAAGAACACAAGGATGAACACGAGGGATTTAACGTGGTTCGGTCCTTCTCTGACCTACGTCCACCAGTAACTAGGAATTTATATTTCTTGGTGCTAATCTGCACTCTTTCTGTGTTACTCTAGATACAAGTTTTACAAATACAGATGAATCTCTTATATAGAGATGTAAACACACATGGTTCCTGGTTTCCTGCCATTTTTGACCAGTTGTGGCTTCACACATGGTTCCTGGTTTCCTGCCATTTTTGACCAACTTTTCTGTGGATTCACACTCAACAACCTCCGTGGATTCACACTCAACATTTAATTCATATATCAGATTAGATATGAGCATTAATTTCTTTTTGGATGTTTTGTTGATTTCAGGACCTGAGGTCGTGGTCTTGTTGCACTTGAAAAAAAGATTCCTAACCTTCTGATATTTTTGACAAACATGGCCATGTGAGAAATAATGATGTGTGTCCATAAGACTCACTTGTACATGGGCCCATAGTGTAGCTCAAGCTTGGCCACTCAGCATTACTGAAATTTTGTGGCATACTTCATTGTACATATATAATTCTTTGGGGCCATTAACAAGTTGGAAGACAAAACCATGTGATTTTTCTTTTTGGTAGAATGTGTCACCATCTCTTCTTTGAAATTCCTACTATTATTCGATCTTCATTGAAATCTTCATACACCTATAAAATGGATACAATTGGGCTGATATGAAGCACAACTCCTCCCAAAATCCATCATTGTATCTTTCACATAAAAGAAATCATTTCAGAAGAAAGAGACCGTAGCCTTCATATGAAAATGGCCATTCGTATGCCTCGAATCATTCAGGCCAAAAAAGTTCTCGGTCGATCATTCTCCAATGGAAGCCGCTCATCATCATCATCGGTAGACATCATCCCCAAAGGACATTTTGCAGTTTATGTTGGTGATCAAGAAAAAATACATGTGTTGTTCCTTTATCATTATTAGACCAGGCTTCATTCCAAGATCTGCTACGTCAATCAGAGGAAAATTTTGGTTATGATCATCCAATGGGTAGCCTCACAATTCCATGTCGTGAGGATGTCTTCTTTCAACTTGCATCTGGCCTGATCTGCTCATTATGACCAAGAAGTTTGCATTCAATTTGATAACATATACATAATTTTGTTGAGTAGAAACCACCATGAAACCTAAGTATTTGTAATGCAGTCTCCAAATTGTACGATAACCAACACTAGTTTGACCATTAACATTGCAATGAAGAACATCATTCAAATTTTGGTATATATCCATATGCCACCTTCCTTTATTAATGTACTCTTGTAAGGCGCTTAAAATCACGACCTTCTAACTTTCTACATAGATCTCACAAGTGTTAAAAAATGGTGTTTATTTCACATCTTTTTCTATATAGTTAATACTACATTTCTTCTGCGATAAGACAGCCACATGACTTCAATCAAGCGCCCATTTTC